AAAAAAAAAAAAAAAAAAAAAAAAAAAAAAAAAAAAAAAAAAAAAAAAAAAAAAAAAAAAAAAAAAAAAAAAAACGAAAAACAAATATTGGAAATTAAAGGGTGTCTGAAATTGGAAAATCAATTAAAACTGTTGGAAATTGGTTCGTGTGTCACGTGATAACCGGTATTTCAAAAATTCTCGCGTTAATGTGTGACGACAATCCATCGTCGGCATTCTGTCCTCAGAAATTTTCATTACGTGTAACTTTCGTGTCGTGAAATTATTGGTTATATTTTATTATCACCAAATTATCATCAAATAGGAAAAAAAATTTTTTTGAGAAAACTCATTTTACATGACCGCGTTATCGAGAAAACATTTTAAATCATGGTACTGGGTTTAGACGCACAAAATCAAGCCGCACTCCTTAAGGTCGTAATTCTTGGCCTTATTTCCTTTGTGGCAATAGCTAGCAGATTATTTAGTATAATTCGTTTTGAGAGTGTAATTCACGAGTTTGATCCATGGTTTAATTATAGAGCAACAAAATATTTAGTTTCAACCTCATTTTATGATTTTTGGAATTGGTTTGACGAGCGTTCATGGTATCCATTGGGTCGTGTCGTAGGTGGAACGGTCTTTCCAGGTTTAATGGTAACTTCAGCTACTATCTACAACATACTTCATGCGCTTAACTTTCCCGTAGATATTCGTAATATATGTGTGTTGCTCGCCCCAGCTTTTTCGGCTCTCACTGCAATATCAGCATACCTTTTCACAGCTGAAATAAAAGACTCTTCTGCTGGTCTTTTAGCTGCTGCATTTATTGGTATAGCTCCAGGTTACATTTCTCGGTCTGTTGCTGGTTCATATGATAATGAAGGCATAGCAATATTTTTGCTTATGTTTACATTTTATCTATGGATCAAAGGCCTTAAAGAGGGTTCTGCTTTTTATGGTGCTTTAACTGCCTTATTTTATTTTTATATGGTAGCTGCGTGGGGTAATTATTAAAGCGCTTTCTTTTTAAGGGAAAAAAAAAATTTACTCGTTATTTGTAAACATTTCACATGTTTATTAATTTATTCCTTCTTTTTTTTTTGTAGGTGGTTATGTTTTTATAATCAATTTAATTCCACTTCATGCATTTGTATTAATATTAATGGGTAGATTTTCATCTAGATTATATGTAGCATATTCTTCTTTTTATGTTCTTGGTACTTTAATGTCGATGCAAATCCCATTTGTTGGATTTCAAGCTACCCGAACAAGTGAACATATGGCAGCTATGGGTAAGGAGATTCCATTTATTTATTATATGCATAAAATATATTATTTTTATTTAATAATCTAAAAAAAAAAAAAAAAATTTTAATTTTAAAGGTATATTTTTTTTATTGCAAATAATTGCTTTTGTGGAACTTGTTAGAAGTCATCTCGCCTCAAAACAATTTCAAATTTTGTTCAAGAGCTTCATTGTCCTTTCTTTTATTATCATGTTTTCTGCACTGGTATTATTAACTTTGGGTGGATATATCGCACCATGGACTGGTCGTTTTTATTCTTTATGGGATACTGGATATGCAAAGAAATATATTCCAATTATAGCATCTGTTTCAGAACATCAACCAACTGCATGGCCTTCCTTCTTCTTTGATTTGGAAATGCTTATTTTTCTCTTTCCTGCCGGGATATATTTATGCTTCCGTGAACTACGAGATGAACACGTTTTCGTAATTTTATATGGAATTACTTCATCTTACTTTGCCGGTGTCATGGTTCGTTTGATGTTGACTTTGACACCAATTGTATGTGTAACGGCAGCTGTCGCCGTATCACATATATTGGATTTATACCTTGATGCAAATTCTTTAGAAACGGAAGAATCGATAGATAAATCTGAATCATCTAACAAAGTAAAGCATTCGGAAAAACCTGGAACTAAAAAAGTTAAAGAAGGTGGATCTCGTTCATCATCAAATCAACCTAAAATTAAAGGTTTTGATACTCGTATCATAGTCCTTTTGAATTTCTTCTTCTTTTTAGTTGTATTTGTTTGGCATTGTACTTGGGTTACATCTAATGCGTATTCCTCCCCATCAATCGTTCTTGCTTCAAGAAATAATGATGGAACATCTTTTATTATTGACGATTTTAGAGAGGCTTATTATTGGCTTAGAAAAAATACGGATTATAATTCAAGGGTAATGTCTTGGTGGGATTATGGATATCAAATCGCTGGTATGGCGGATCGTACTACCTTAGTAGATAATAATACGTGGAATAATACTCACATAGCTACAGTTGGAAAAGCCATGGCTTCATCTGAAGAAGTTGCATATCAAATTATGAGGAGGCATGATGTTAATTATGTTTTAGTTATCTTTGGTGGATTATTAGGTTATTCAGGAGATGATATTAATAAATTTCTTTGGATGATAAGAATAGCTGAAGGTGTTTATCCTGATGAAGTAAAGGAAGAAAATTACTTTACCTCACGTGGTGAATATAGGGTAGATGATGAAGCTAGCCCAACTATGCGTAATAGTATCATGTACAAATTGAGTTATCATAATTATAATCAACTCTTTAATGGTCAAGGAATTGATCGTGTTAGAAATGCTAGATTACCTTCGGAAACTATTCAATTAAGTACGCTTGAAGAAGCTTATACAACTGAAAATTGGATTGTAAGAATTTATAAAGTAAAAGATTTAGATAATTTAGGACGTGATTTAGAACAAGCTACTGCATTTAATTTGGGTAAAAAAACTCGTCGAACTAAAAAGAAGAAATAAATAATTATTGAAAATATATAATTTTGAGGGATATTTTTTTTTTTTTTTTTAAAAAAAAAAAAAAACATACACACATTGTTCAATATTTATTTCGCATTAAAAAATAGATAAAAGAAAAGAATAAGAATATTTATCTATTGTATAGAAGATTATATTAGGTTAAAATCAAATTCGGAGGTTTTTTTTTTCAATAAATAATTCTAAAATCTAAAATAATTAATCAAATCCTCAAATCTTATATTAAATAATAACGTTGAAGAGCTATAGTTATGAATGAATCCGTAATCCAATATAAAAGAATTTATGTTGCAGTACTATCTTCCAAATTGGAATTCTCTATTTGTTGGAAATAAGTTTCCCATAGATTAATAACCTGAAATAATAAAATGATAATTTAAATATTTATCAATTCCATCAAAAGGAGAACCATTTATTTTATTTTATTTTTTTTTTTCACTTACTTCCATTTGAGTTTGAACCATCGATTCCAATAAAGCTTCAACACTATTCTTAAAGTCCTCTACCTTTTCCTTATCAAATCGATCCAATTCAGCTTTGATAAGGTTAGAAACATCCTCGAACTCTTGTTTATATTCATCTACTTTATATTCGGACTGTATAAATAAGTAAATCATATAAGAATATTATTTTTTTAAAAAAACAAACAAAACAACGGGTAATCAATATAATAATATATACATCAACAATTTGAGTCAACATATTTGAAAGCTTTTCTTGACTGAATCTTCCTTGTGCTTTTGATCTTTCATAATAGGCCTTTTTCTTTTGCAAATCAGAAATGGAATTTTGCCATGTCTGATGAACTTTGGCACGTGAATTAAACGCAACCTATATAAAATATAATTAATATTATTAAGGAGGACAAAAAAAAGATCTTTTCAATAAATAAAATATTACAAACTTTAATGGATGCAATTATGCGAATGTACTCTTCTATAGTATTTTCTAATGTTATCACGTCCTGATGTGCCTAATAATAATAATAAAAAAAAAATTTGTCAGAAAGAATTAATATCATAAAATGTTACTTAAAGATTAATATAACAAGAAACCTGTTTCTCGTGCAATTCTCTGATTTTTTGTTGTATAGTTCCTAAAATCGTTAAATTATTGGCCAAAGATTTGTTGATGTTGAGTTCAGCATCGGCCAATGATAATAAGCTATCCCCAAATTCAACTGTTGCACCACCCAAATCTAAATAATAATACGTTTTTTTACATCAATAAAGTTTATTATCATGAAGTATATTGATATAACAAGAATTTTTACCTTTACGTTGTTTTACCATGGATTCGACTGATTTAAGCAATGTTTTCAACTGTGATTCCAGAATGTCTAATTGATTCCTTCGACCTTCAAACCACTGAAATTATCGTACAATTTTTAATTAAGATTGATAATAACATATAATTGGTTCGTCAATAACTCACTTCATCTGTTTCTGTAAATTTGTTAAAAGTTGTCGCATTTGACACTGCTTCACCTAATGACTTTAACACGCCCTTGGATTCGTCTTGATTTTTTCGTTTAACCTAAATATCAATAAACAATAGAGTTAGAATTCTTGATTAAAATTATAAAAATACAAAACAAAAACTAACTCACATCAATAGTGAACGTGTCAGACTCCAAAAACAACTTTAGATCCGGATCACGATATAATATAGGATGAGAAGTGATTTTTTTCAAACATTTTTCAAGAGCTTGACGTCGATTTTCCACAAATTCATCTTGAAAACGACCTGATAATTAAAATAAACAAAAGTTATAAATAAATTATAAAATTAAAATTAAAATATAGGTTAGATTGAATACCAATGGCATGTTTTCCTGGCACGGGAGGGACAATGACTCCGGGATTACCGAAAGTTAACTGATTATAAAGCCATAAGAAATCGCGATATCGTCTTAATACAGTAAAGTCTTGATTTCTAAAAGCCGAAGACGTAGTCTAATTATGTGAATGATTAAAAGTATTAATAAGTGACTATTAGGAAATTAAATGCATCTTATAATTCCATAAAAAACAAAAAAAAGAAAAATGCATACTCGGGTTCTGACTTTATAAATGATGTGCGCACTGATAGCGTCACCAATCTTTTGAGGATCTTCAACTGTGATATCAAAGTTTGGCATTGAGCTGTTTTGCAGATCAGACTAGGAAAATAAAAAACAAATATGATTTCGTTATCAACATTTACAAATATTAACAACGCGAAAGTTTACCTGGATTGAATTATAACCCAAATTTGCAAGTCTTCGATCATTGCGAGATCTTGCAATAGTAGTTTCGTCTTCAAGAGAGTCTTCACCACTACTACTTTCATGAATATTACTTTCAGTAGAAACTGACGAAGTAACATCAATTCCTTTTACGGAAGACACATCTACATCTTCGAATTCCCTTTCATCAAGCCTCGAAGAAAATATTGCAGAATTTTTTAAACTATTTTTATGATTAACCTGACTATTTAAAATGCTAGGATCGTTCACTTCGGTGTCAGAAGTTTCTTCTGCTGCAACTAAAGGTGATACAACATCATGAAATGGATTGGAAACATCCATTTCACTTAAAGTTTCAGATATGGTATTGCTTGAGGGCCTGTGCAAAAGATCATCAAAGTTGTTTTCAAATTCAGATTCAGCCATTTTCGCTTAAATAAAATCGAAGGGATGAAATTTTGTTTTTAAAGGATCGATAAATGTTTCGCGTCGAAATAATTAAACTGTAAATGTCAAGTTGACTGAACTGTCCAAATCCAATAGTATGGTAGCCAATTAATTTTTCTGAATTTTTAATAGGAAATTATACAAAGAATACGGTGACAAAATTAGAAATTTCCAAACTGCGGTCATCTTAATTAACTACATATATCCAGTTGTTATTTTTACATTCTCAGAATATATCTTTTCCTTTTATATATTATATTATACCGAATTCTTTTACGCTCTTTCTTCTTTTCTCATAATTTTTACGACACAAAAGTTTTTTTTGTTAAAAGGGTTGACTACTCTTCTTAGTTATAATAATTTTTTGCTAATATTTTATTTCTCCTCTTTCTCGATCTTTAGACTTTAATTGCTTTCATCTTATTTTCGTTTTTTTTGCGATTCACTTTTTGGGCAACCTTAACCAAAAAGTGTCTAGATAATCTGTCTCTACACATAAATAAAGTCAAAAGAGAACTTAAAATATTTGAATAGAGTTTTTACCGCAACAATGTTGGCTTCTACAGTGAGTGAAAACTCTGCACCAAAACATCTGATTATTGGTTTGTATAGTCAATTTTTCTCATTTTTTATTACAGCATCTCTAGTATTTTTTATTCAATACTTAAATTATTTTAACTTATAAAGGGGTAACTGAAAATGTCGTGGAAAAAAAAACGGAAAAGGTTGAAAGGCGACACACACCTCCTAATAATGTTGTCGAGCCACTAAATATAACAACAACAACAACACAAATAATTGACACACAAACAATATACTCTTCGTCACCAACAAATATGTTTAATAAACATAGTATGACGATTACCGGCGAAATTATATCTAAAGACATTAGCCCTTCAAGAACTCATTCTGATTCATCAGATAAGCAATCAATATCTATTACTGATGAAAAAAGGACAGTTAGTTTTCCCGCAAATGTTACATCAAAGCCAACTAATACCAATGATGTAGACGGTATATCTGGAATCAATGCAATCACAGATTCGCAAAATAATACTTCGGTACAAGAAATAAAAACATCCAAAGGACTTGTTCGAAGTTTTACTTCGCCGATTCCACAATCACCCAAACGAAGACCTAATAGTATGACTGCTTTGACAGATGATAAAAGTCAAAATATTCTTCAACGTTCAGCTACCACAGCAGGGAAATCAAAGAAGAATACATCAGCTTTGGATGAGCTAGATGCAAATAAAAAGAAAGATGGGAAACATAGAAGGAACACTATTAATGATAAAGATATTTATGAAGACATCGCACTTGACGAAGAGACACAAAAATGGGCAGAAAATGTTAAAAGGAGATTATCAAAGCGTAGAACCCGGGACAAGGATAGGGATGATATAGATGATGGGGTTATGGTCGGTACAAGGATCGGTGAAGATCACGTGAATTATGTTCTTATGTACAATATGCTGACGGGTATACGAGTGGGCGTAAGTTTATTATCATAATTTACTTTTTTTAAAATATAATATACTCTTTTTTGATTTTGTTTAAAAAATTTTTTAAAAAGGTATCTCGATGTAATGCAAAGATACAAAAAGGAGTAATCGATGCCGATTTCAAGGCCGCACACAAATTTTCATTTGATATGTAAGAAACTTTTGTAACTAATAGATTAGTATTGAACAGCTTCAGTGTTTTGAAAAGTTATTCACATTGTATATATATTTATATAGAACGGGTAACGAACTCACACCTTCAGCTAAATATGACTTTAAATTCAAAGATTACGCTCCATGGGTTTTCCGTAGTCTTCGAGAATTTTTTCACATCGATGCTGCTGATTATCTTGTTTCTTTGACAAGTAAATATATTTTGTCGGAGTTGGGTTCACCGGGTAAAAGTGGAAGTTTCTTTTATTTTTCCCGAGATTATCGTTTTATTATTAAGACTATACATCACACTGAGCACAAATTTTTGCGCAAGGTTTTGAAGGAATATTATGAGGTTTGTCAAAAATATTTTAATTGTTTAGAGAAAATTTTTTATATCAATAAAAAGAAAAAAGAAAACTTAGAGTTATTCTTATGTTATTCTTAATAGCATATAAGAAATAACCCAGATACACTACTTTCCCGCTTTTATGGACTTCATAGAGTGAAATTACCACGTGGACCAAAGATTCATTTCGTAGTTATGAATAATATATTCCCACCTCATCGAGACATTCATGAAACTTATGATTTGAAGGTACCTTTATTAATATATATATATATATATTGCTTATATGATTTTCAAAGTGCAAAATTATATATAAATTTTTATTAGGGATCAACTGTTGGACGTGAATATGATGAAGCGGAAGCGACTAAGAACCCACGCGCGGTCCTTAAAGATTTGAATTGGATTAAACGTGGCCGACATTTGGAACTTGGTCCCGAAAAACGTAAACTTTTTGTCGAGCAGCTCGAAAAAGACGTCTCAGTAGGTTTTTAATTAAAATATAATTTCATAATTTTATTATTCATATTTGCATAAATTAATTCTTTTAAAAAAAAAAAAATAATCATCATTATATAAGCTGCTTCAACGTTTGAATATTATGGATTATAGCCTTTTAGTAGGGTTACATGATACTTCCCGTGGCAATAAGGATAAAGTTCGAGAAGATTTCTTTGTATTCCAGGTACGTTAAGTATACCATTTTTTTTCTTTTATAAAAAAAAAAAAAAAAAACCTTTTATAATACTGAAAATTCATATGTCCGTCTGATTTAATGTAGCCAGATACAAAGAAAATAAAGCGCACCCCTTCGAGTCATAAGCGGGAAAGTAAAGCTTCGAAATTACGAAAAGCTGTAGGGGAAACGGAACCATCGAAATTAGATCCTTCGACCACAAAGCTCGTATTAGATGCACATAATGAGTAAGTCTCACTAGTATAATTATTAATTTCAGACTATTCGAGAAATATTCTTTAATAAATATGTTACAAATTTTAAATCGTTCATTGGTTATCTTTAGACGCCGAAAGTGCATATTTAATATGGATGATGGTGGCTTTGCCGGCACAGACGAACAAAATAATCCTACCAACTACATTTATTACTTGGGCGTTATTGATATTTTGACGCCATATAATACTGTTAAGAAGGTCGAACATGCATGGAAATCACTAAAAGATGACAAGGTATTTTATTAATAAAATTTACATTTCTAAATATATTTTGTAGAATAACGAGAAATGGTTTTAATTTTGATATTTTTTTTTCAGTTGATGATTTCTGCTGTACATCCGCGATGGTATGGTAAACGTTTCTTAGATTTTATGTTTAAGACTATTAAACATAATGATGATGTTTCTACGAAACAAATTGAAGCGAAAGTTGTTGGGGAAAAAAATCCTTACGACGAGACAATTGAAACAGAGGCCTCAACTTCGTAATATTGTAAATTTTAAATTTATAATATTCGAAGTAAAGAAAAATCAATCAATTAATAAATCAATAAATAAATCTTATCATCCGATCACCTTACCTTTAATATTTCATTTTATCTTTTTTTTTCCGTTCCCATTATTTTTGTCAAAGCAGTCGCAAAACATTGGTTTGGTACTTTTATATTTATCTTATCCTTTCTTTTACTTTTGAGTATGATACAATTATTTTAAAATCCTTATTTATTTCCACTATCATCATCATCATCATCATCATATTTTGACCATCTTATGATTGACTTCTCAACCTTGTTAATGTTTTCGATATTGGATAGGTGATTATGTACAGTGAAGGTTTACAGTCAATTTTATCAAAGTCCAATATCGTGTAATCTTCAACTTTTACTTTTTCCATACCTATACTTGTCGAGTAGCATTTTTACAAGAAGACATTCATTTCTCAAAGATATCATAGATGTTAAAATAATATGTCTTTCACAATTTATTCAATACTTATCTTCCAACTCAAGCAATATTCATAACTGATATTTTCTAACAAGAGCAATTGTGTGCTGTTTTCCTTTTACAAATTATACATTTATCACATTCTTTTATTCACAACTCATGCTTTACTCCTATTTTTATACACACAAATTGGTGTACTATTAAGCGAAGAGATTTATTCGCTTGACTTCTTTTCAATGTTTTTTATTAGAAAAACATTATCCTTTCCTTTTTTCCAACAAACCCCTCATCATTTTGTATATTGTACAGTTTTTTATTGTTTGACCCTATTATTTATCAAATATATATATATATATATATATATACACAGACAAATACATATAGATATATATATATAATAATAATATGTGAAAATAGTTTTGGTTGGGTGTTTTTTTTTTTTTCAATTATTTATATTATACTAAATAGATTCTATTTATTTCTAGTATAACTAGCTCATTACTTTTAGTTTTAATATATATTTTTGATTAGATAGGCGAAGAAAATGCATTCCATTTTTTAACTTTGATTTATATATATAAAACTTATATATTTAAAATGGATTTCTTTGTTTTCTTTACAACCAAAATACATTTGTTCACTTTTCTTTTTTTTAGAATAAAAACAATCAAATTATTATTTAACAATAATCACCTTTATCTTAAAGATATCGAAATCTTTGCTAAAAGATAATGAAGTAAGTAAAAAATTGACTTTATCTTTTTTCACAACTATACCATAAAAAATTATAAAACAAGACATATTTTGTTGGTTATTATAATAATACATCATTTCCTTTTCTTCTCTTGTATTTAATTTATTTATTTATTTGTTCGTTTGTAATATTGGAGAAATTAATTTATAAATAAATGACTATAAAATATAGAATTTTTTTTTTATCCGTAATTTGCTTTGATCATGTGACTTAAATATTTATAATAATCATATGAAACTATATTTACGTAACACGTCGCATGCTATTTTCCTCAAAATGCAATTTATTGAAAATTTAGAAATATATTTAAGCAATACATATGATGTATGTAAAGTAGATCTTTTTTTTTTGTTTTTTTTTGTGCTCTATATTTTTCGCTAATATTATTAATGCTTTATATAAAGTGAAAAAATTTATTGTGAAAATGTAAAAAAAAAAATTTAAAAGCACTGAGTAATTTCTTTAGATGTAATACAACAAGTTAAAATATAATAAAAGGAAAGAAAAGGTGCAATGACCAGCTAAACACCAATATTGCACCAAACCTACACGCGCACACATATTACAAAGAAAATAATAATAAACTTATACTAGAATACTGCTATAGAGGGACGTAAAGTAAAAAATTCAAGATATTTAATTAACCTATAACATAACCTTTCGTCCCATAAAGCCACCATTACACTAATGTAATGTAAAAAAATTACAAGAAAAAGAAAAGGACATTGCGAAAGAAATTTATATTGAAATTTACATTGAAATTTTTGTTTTTTTGTTTTGTCAGTGATAGTATGATAACAATTTATTAAATTGTAAAACAAATACGAAACAAAAAGAAAAAATATGACAATAAACATTGGTCATATAATTAGTTATACTCACTAGCATATTTGCGCGTCCATTCCCGAGCAGTAGCTTCATAACGAGAACGATCGGTCTTGTACACATGCGCAATTTCGGGTACAAGTGGATCATCTAACATTTAATATTTTTCAAAAGAGGCAAAAGATTAGATCCAATTAAACAGAGATAAAAAAAGATTGTAAGATACATACCAGGATTAGGATCAGTTAACATTGAGCAAATAGACAAAAGCACTTTAAGAAATAATAATTTTGATTATTATTATTATTATTTTTTTTTTTTTTTACGCTAAGACCTGTTACGTAACAATTTAAATAAATTAGTATAAATTACCTTTCGAGATAGTAAGAGCTGGTGACCATTGGTCCCTTAGAATATCCAGACATATACTTCCGTTACTGTTAATATTCGGATGATAAATTCTTGTTGTAAAATTTACCTACATATAAAATGATGTGTAAGTCCTTGTAGGAGTGAGCATCCTAAAAAATAAATTTTATACAATTGTATATATATACCTTTGGTGGTTTAAACGGATAATCTGTGGGGAAGTGAATATTAAGGAAAAATACCCCTCCGGCGTATGGAGAGTCCCCCTAATCCAAATTAATATATAATAATATCAAATGATGTGAGAAAAGAAAAAAAAAATCAGAAAAATTTATGTAAAAGTTTTGAAAAAGAGACCAGAGTAAGACTACTTACAGGACCCATAATTGTCGCTTGCCAATGAAAAAGATCATCCCCAATGGGACCAGCACTACACGATGACGGTGGGTCACGCCCTAAGTCGAGCAATTCCTGATAATATAGAGAATAAGGGAAAAAAAATTAATAAGCGTTATTGCCGCAGTTGAAAGGTGAAAAAATAAAATAAAAATAATATCTCTAAATCATAAGTTTTAGTTATAAACGTAATTCCATATATACGTAATATTAGACTAAAAAAAAAAACATCTAAAACTTTTGTTACCAATACAATGGTATATATATGAAGTTGTACTTGACTTCTTTTTAATCGAAGACCAAGTGTATACTATGAAAAACAATCAAGGCCCTGATCCAGTATATTGACATCTCCTTTGCTCAAAAGACATCGCATTTACGCAAAATGAACTTGAGGATTTGTTAAAGTGAAAAAAAAAGAGCACGACGGTAAAAAAAGCCACCAAGGTCCGTAAAGACGACGGTCAACACTGAACAAAAAATTTTTTCTTCTAATATAATGATTTAACACAACTTACTTTGTTGATTCTTTTAAGTGCCATTTCGTTTATAAGAAAAAAGAGTAGTTATTTGTGAAGTGATAAATTGTGTGTTGCAGAGAGAAGAGATGAACCGAAACTTTTTTTTGAAGGTACAAAGGCTAGAATACCGGGGGTATGTGGAATTATTAGAAGGGCAAACTATTTTGGGGGAGTGACCAATTATTTATACATAATTATATATATATATATAGTGGCCTTTGATTCCTCGTGACACGATTTTTATGATTGGGTTGATCTTTAAAGCGAAAAGTGTGATATAAAATCACGCCCAGTCTTACACAACAATTTCTACATGCATTGATCACAGTTGTTAGCTAAGTTGGCTAATTATCACACGAAAATAATAAGAATTTTATGATTATATGAAAAAGTTTTGTATATTAAAGTTAAGTTTATAAATATTTATAATTTTAAAAATAAAAGTTTTTTTTATAATAAAATTTTTTTTAAAATCGCAAAAAAATATAAATAGAAATAAATTTATAATAAATAAGTATCTAAATCCTAATATATAAGTTTTAAATAATATCTATTTAAACCTAACACAATGTTATTATAGGGGTTTAAGAACCAAAGGTCCATCCCCCACTAACATTGTGTGTTGGGAGGCTCTCAAACCTCAAGAACTATATCGATTTTTTTCATATTAGAAAAGCTTCTAAAAGCTTCAGAATCTTAATTTCTATATTTTATTAGAAAAGCTTCTAGCTGGTTTAGAAGGTTAATTTCTATATCTATTTTTTATTATATATTAAAAAAACTTCTAAGACTTCTAGAATTATAATTTTTATATTGTAAATAAGTTTATTGAAAAATAAGTCTAACGAAAATAAATATATCAGAAATTGATTCTATAAGGGTTAGCGTAATAATTAGCATATTTTTTAAATAAGTCTAACAAAAATAAAATAATTATATCAGAAATTGATTCTACAAAGGCTAGCACATTAATTAGCATATTTTTTAAATAAGTCTAATGAAAATAAGTCTAACGGTCCTTATTACCTCATAAATAAGTCTAACGGTTTTCTTAAATCTAATGAAAATCCATAAATAAGTCTAACGAAAAATCATGTATCTAATAAACTTTTCTATATACAAAATGCTTTCTATACAAGCTAGCTCATTAAATAGCATAATTGTTAAATAAGTCTAATGAGATTTTTGTCCTAACTTTTCCTTAATCAAGAATGGGTTCAATGCAGGCTAGTTTACTAAAAAAGCATATTTTATATAAAAGTCTAACAAAATATCACTCCTGCAAAATCCGCAAAATTGTTTCAAGTTTTTCTTAGTCAAAAATGGGTTCAGCATAGGCTAGCTCATTAAATAGCATAAAACTTTAACAAAAAAATATAAAAAAAAACAAGTTTAATGAAAATTTAGCAAATGCTTATTGGATATTGTGTCTAAAATTTAAGTTAGCCAAAATAATCTTTTCATTTATTCTGGTTGACAACTAACACAATAATCTTCTTCTCCCATTTTTATCAGAATGAGGCATTTCCTGCAAAGAGAAATATTAAGATTTGTAAGCGTATTTCTATAGATAACCATTATTTTCTCATAACTTCTTTCTCATATTTCTGATCGAAGTCTATCATAAAATTAGCTAGCATAGGATTGGCCAACATAAGTTCTTTCTCATTGAAGTCTATCATAATGTTGGGTAACATAATAACCTCTAACATGTAGTAGATATCGTCTACAAGCAGAGACTGTAGGCTTTTCGCAATCAGAACAAGGTATACATTTTTTAGCTTTCCAATGGAATCAACATCCTTCAGGCCTAGTACTAGCATTCTTACAAGTCTTTCTGGTATTACAAAGAAATAGGCAAGAATATTCGCCAATCATCCTACTTTTTATTACTAGATTTGAAAAGATTAATTAATAATTAGTTAATGCTTCAGTTTTGTAATAGCTAAAACCTTTTCAGAAAGCTTGTAAATACTTATCTTTAGTAGGGTTTCTATGATTGAAAAGTGATAGGTACATAAAAAATAAATAATTAAAAAAAAAATTATATAAGCAAGTAATAGTGTAATGATTAAAGCTAACACCATGGTTAGAAAAACAAGAACTGATAAAAAAGATACAATTTGTAAATATTGTGATCATAAATACTCAACACCCCAAAAACTTCATAAGCATCTTAAGTAAAAAAATCTATGTAAACCACTACAAGAGTGAAAGGATGTACACTCCCTCCAAAAAATATCCGACCACTTGCTGATCATTTACTGATCATTTGAAATTATAGCTGATTTCGACGTTTATTACTTAACAATTTATTAATAAAATTTTTACAAAATTTATATA